AGAAACAAATCAGAGGCTTTACAGCCATAAACCAGAGCTCTAAACTCATTAAAATGAAGGTCTGAAACTTCAACTCTGAAACACTAAACATAAAACCACTTAGAATTACTTAGATTTGCAGATAAGGGTCACAGTTACGATCTTCTGAAAGGAGCACTTTATTCTATAGTCAATATTATATGCCTAAATAGCATGAATATTCCATGCTTTTCAACAGTAGTAAACATTTTAAAATTCATGTTAAAGCTTTCTTACTTTTGTTTTAAACTCTTGTGACATCAGATTCTCCTGGGATCGTGTTCTTCATAGATGATACATTGACTAGTCATCTGGATTTGTTTTTGTGGTTGCCATTGTCAAGCAGAAATGTAGAAAAGGTTTCTACTCTAAAAATCTGGTAAATTCTGGGAATCAAAACAGAGCTTAATACAATCTATGACAGACATAAGGGAGTAGTTAATTTAAGTCTTCTAGGGTGGCTTTTTCACAGGCATCATTGCTGGAACAGCTACCAAACTTCTATGCATGTTGGATTTCCTGCCCTTGACACAGTTCTTATGTGTCAGCAGAAAGCAGATGACATCAGCTACAACTGCTTTATGACACTACTGTTGACAAATTTCTGACAGGTCCTTCAGGTCACTTTTTTGCCTCTGACTAAATTTATGATATTCTTAATAAAATGATGGAAGCATGTCGGACAAATCCTAGAGAAAACCGCAACTAAAAAGATTGATCAGTCAGAAAAACATCACAAAAGCCAATCACAACCAAAGATTAACATCTTAACAGCTCTAAAGAAGGTTAATAATTTTTACAAGTTCTAATGACATCATACTTGGATGGACTAAACTCATTAGGTTACTAAAGGGCACCTGATTTGTATACCATCATGAAACAGCAGTCCTCTCCATTTTGAGAGTTTGGCTTGGAAGTAAAATTAATATGTCTCTCTGGTCTTTAAAACAGATTAATAGCTGCTTTAAGAAGAATGTACGAGCTAATTAAAAATTGCAAAATAAATCAGGCCTGGGAAAAAACCTGTCACCTCTCCCTATGTTTCATTCAAATCCAGTTAAATATTTCCCATTAATTTTCACATTAAGTTATTTGTTTCACAAGAATTATTTCCTGTCCTTCTTCAACTGAGTAAAAAGGACATTCACACTGGCAAAATCTTTATTTTTCTTTAGGAAAATGTATTACTTAAAACTCTGCATTTCAAAACTTCACACCCCAAAGCTAACAACAATAAAATGATCCACAACAATATTTAAATACTAACGAAAAAAATAACAATTCTTCAACTTTCCTATGTTTAATTGAGTCAGCTATTTCAGTGTATTGTGGGAATACGTTTATCAGAATCAGTAGAGACCAAATGTTAATTATGAAGGCCAAGTACAAATGAATAATCTTACGTATAGACCCTGACACATTAGAACTGCAAAGCACTCTGCAGATCTTATTTTATGAAAATGTACTAAGAGCGCAAATGTATAGGCCCTTAGGAAGCAATTATCCCTAAAAGATTTAGCTATAATTCAATCTGAAATATTATAAGAGATTTTTTTAAATAGTTTCACAAAGAGGAGGATTATTTTACTTTAACTATGGAAATAGAGGCCCACATGCTTCTCTGAATGACCTCTGTGCAGTTGTGGGCATTGTCTGGAGGGAAGATTTGAAATTGGCCTATTTGTTCAATTAATACAATTCCCTATGAGCAATAAGAATATTATAAACATTAAGAATACCAGTTTGGCATTGTGGGACTGAACGGCCCACATCACTATAAGGAATGTTCGACGCAATAAATATATTGAATATGGAAATTTTACATCAGATACTACTAACATGTATGACAGAGATCAGTTAAGAAGACTTATCTTACTAAAGACATGCAGATGTTATATTGCACAGTAAGATAAAACAATACAGTATAGGTCTATACTGCAGCATGCCTTATGTGTCGTATCTTCTATTTGTCACACGATCCTCAGGTATGACATGGGATCTAAAAGTGTAAAAACAAAGCGTGCAATAGTGCTTACATCATCTCTGTGATTTCCAGATCCTGGATCTGTCCAAATTACTGCCACCACTTCTCTCTCCCAGTTACAATCTGTCTCTGCTGCTTTGCCTCACTTAGAAGTCTATGGGCTGCCACTGCCTCAAAAAAGGGTGGCAGTAGCCCTGTGAGGCAAAATAACTAAAAACAAAACTAAAAGCTTGCAGTTTAATTTACCTATTAGGCCATACTATCAATGGAATGAAACAGGTTTCTTGTGGATTGGTGTCAACATTTTTTTCCTTCTCAGCACCTCACTGCTGTGAGATTACTTTAAAAAGTAAGAAACAGTATCTGTTGGGTTTTGTTGATTAGCGTATTTCAGGACCCCATAGAGGTAATGATCTCATCTTTTATCACAATCTTTTATGCCATCTTTAATCTAGCTGGTCCTGATCACTGTATTTTTATCAAGTTACGATTGCAAGTATCCTTGCATCACATCTGATGTTTACACTCCCATTACTCCCTGAAGAAAGTCTAAAGCAGATCAAATTCCTCATCTGCTACCTATCACCAGAATACACATTTTGCCAAATTGAATCAGACACTGTTAATTAAGTTTAAGAGAGTAGGGAAAATTAAAGATTTTTTAAAAACTCAACTTTCTTGACAGAAACTGTCCTGCATAGACACAGAAGGAATACCTGGACTCCTCCTGCAGGACTGAATCAATAGTACATAGTGCAGTTCCCAGTTTACAGAGAGGTGGTTAAAGTAAATCTAGTTCTCTGGATCATGGTGAAAATAAAAATAGTTGTGTTATTTAACCCTGCACCACAAATGGCCTGTCCTGTTTTTCTGAAAATGGTCAGATGATCAGAGGGTGATTGGCAGTAAAGAGGAGACAGGAGGGGATTCCTAGGTCTGTACATGCACTCTACATGTAGCATTTACAATAGCTACTGACAAGAGGGTTTCACAGGGGAGGTGTGTGCCAAGACCTCAGTGTGTTATCTGTCAAGGGGCTCTGGCTGGATATTTCTCTGGCAGGGAGCTCTGCCACTGACGGCAGCAGGAACGCCCCGGCCAGCTGCAGCCAGGCCCGAAGCACTGGTCAAACCCATTTCTAAAGGAGTCGGTCGCTGACACAACCTTCATCCCTACCAGCCAGTCCATAATTTTTAGGCTGCAACTGCAACTGCAACTGCATTTACATGAACGCTTAGATCAGGATGAGTGTTCATATGCTGTATATCAAAGCTAACAACTTCTGCCAACATTTCACAGGGGCATTTTAAAGTTTTCAAGGTCAAGAAGTCAACTTGACCCATCAGCCTGTTAAGGAGTACTCTGATGGACCTGTCCTCACTGTAGGTAACAGTAAAATTAACTGAGACAAACTCTACAGAGGCACAATATTAAAAAAAAATTCAACTTTACCAAATATTGAAAAGCAGTCCTTTTTTCCTCCCCACATTCTCATCTCTAAAAGACTATGACCAATTAACCTCTAACTTTGAAAAATCAAAAAATGCCTATGACAGCCAGAAATTAAATTCTTTAAAGATTAGGTGCTCAGAGAGCAATATCAGGCTTAGAATGAAATCCTGAACTATTAAGTCACTTCTTGCTCTGAAAATATAATTATTCTGTAAGCATTACATCAGGCAATATTAAATGTAAAAAGTGTAGTTTCAATAAAACATTTCTATTTTCTAACAGAAAGACTATGCATAATATTTTCAATGACACAGAAAAAACAAGTCATCATGCAATTAATGAAAAACAATAAGTGTTCAATAAGTAGCATGCTCAGCAAGCACTAAATTTTAGTGATACCAGGTTCAAAACAATATTATTATTGTGGTCAGAAACAGCCCTGAATGTTTACGATCTCTATTTCTAGTCATCTGAGAATGGACTGCTCTCAGGACTGCACACCTGATTTTGTAATATTCACCACAGATTCTGATAACAATTATAAACCCATGGAACATAGAGCACACAGCCTCTATTCATTATACTTTTTTTACTGAGAAATGTCAAACTATACAAGAATTTACCTTTATTCCTATACTTTGCATTGGTCACGTTGTTTCATGAATAATTATGTTTCCTGAATATTAAAAAAGAAAAAGGAAAGCAGAGGAAAATCTGCCTATAAATTAGATACGTTTGGATCTTACTGCCTAAACCAAACACAGTTTTAAAACAACAACTCAGTATCAACAGAGTATTTATTTATTAAATATTTATATTGCCTCTCCACTATCCACTATCCATAAAAGATATTTTTAAGAATATAGTGGTTGGATAGGTATACACGATGCTTGTACATCTTACCTGGCATCGTCTCTTATTAGGGCTAGCGGTGAGATTGCTGGTTATGTAGCTATCAATTCCACTGACGTTACAATTTCCCTTTCTCAAAGCAGCAATAACCTGTCACTTCACACTGTCCTTTCTCTGACCCTCTCTGCCTCTCTGCTCATTTTTATTCTTATTGACAGGACTTATTATTCCTCCTCCCAATTCCAACTAGCTCCCCTTTTGCAAATAGTAGTATCAACTATGTGGTCACTAGTAGTATAGGTCAACAATGTTATTAATATAGCACACACTGCTGGGAGCAGATCAAACAGCCATGCTTTAAAATATTAGTTTTGCAAAGGTACCATGAGGCAAATAGTTGCAGCTTTCTTCACGTTATAAAATGTAATATCACAAGGACAGGCCCCAAGAATTTAGCATTAATTACTAGCCCAATAATTTGGAGGATATGTTATTTTTTTTCTTGTTGTTTTCATACACAAAATAAAATAAAACCATAACAGAAGGGTGCTGTATCTGTGTTTAAAGAAGGGGTTGTTGGCAAACACCATAGCTCACTTCTGCCGAAATGTACACAACTGATATATGCAGCCCAGAAAGCTGGCACCAGGGGCTTACAACCTTAATTTGCCTGCAAGAAGAAATGGAGATTTACCTTCAGAGCACGTTCTTGATTGTTTTCAGCAGTCAGATGTCTCGTGTTGTTTGCTGAAGTCTGGTTCTGCTCTTTCAGATGATGAAGCTCCTGCTCCAGCCGTTTGCACTGCAACGAGGAAAGAATCCCATTAAGTAGAGGAGTGTGGGCACATTTTTTTCAACAAGCCAAATGAATTAACGTAAATAACCCCATCACCATTTCTGCAGTAGTGAAAGCATCAGACAAAAGCAAGTTACAATCACAGACCAGTACTAGAGCTATGCTTTTTAAATGTGCACCATTATTCAGATTCTTCCTGGTCCAATTGCATGCCAAAAAAAGCTAAGTTTAGTATCAGATAAAGACATTTTGCAGAATGTTTTAAAAAGTCTTAAAAATGTTGGGTTGAATTTCTGCTCCTAGTTATGCCAATATAAGGCTCGATTTTGTCTTTTATGTATTAAGTAAGTGGATATAAAGGAAGTAATACATGTTTTTAGAAAAGCAAGCAAATAAAAGACCCTCCTCCAAAATCTGGGACCCAGCTTTTATAAGAAAACAGACGTGTAATCTTTATACTTTTATTTTTCACGCTAAGAGATTACTCTAATTCCCAAACACACACCATATCTTGAAAGAAAAAAAGTTTTAAGGTTGTTTTGTTTAAATATTTAATTTAATGACAAAGAATAAAAAATTTATCATTTGCTACTGTGTGCATACACATGCATACTTACTGCTGTCAACCAAACATCTACTTTAAAGATTAAAGATCTGAAAATTGTGAGCTAAATTACATTTCACTGTTTATATGGTAACCATAAGAGGTCTTGTCCAGTTCATTGTCCTATGAAAAAAACCCTTTTATACAAAAAAGCGGAACAGATGAAGTACCAGGAAGACAGGGGAACAACTGTTAGAACTAGGGAAATACACAATGTTAGCACATTTTAAAACAGTACATTACAAGCACGTAGTCTGAGATCAGCACCAAAACCCATAGCTGACAGACTGTTAGAACAAAAGACAATTAATTGATAAAAAGTATTTTAATAAACACTTTCTGAAAACACTAGTAAGAAAGGAATCAGAATCATGATATAATGCCCATGTAAGCATTGCAGTCCCAAATGAAAGATCCGGAAACATCAGTATCTTGTACTATCTCAGTGACTGTAGAAGACACAGAACTGAGCTTCCCATCAAGTGTATACAACCTATTCTGGAGCCATTCAGTACGTGGGACAATGAAGCATGGCTCATGACAGCTCTAAAAAAAAGAAAAACTGTGAAACAGCCATAGGACTGCAAAAATTATAACTGAGGTCTATGTAAAATAAGGAGTAGTAAAGGATCTTGAGACATAAATTTTAAAGACATACCAATACGTACACTTAAACACAAAATAAGTCCTTAACAATGTACTGCACATCAGGCATCCAGAATACTATGTAAAACAGAATGATTCAATTCTGTATTTGAGTAAGTTTTAAATAATTGTAGGTTCAATTCACATATCTGTTGTACTTCATTACTTCTCTTAGAAATCTGGGCTCATTTCTAATAGGATTATTTATTTTAAAGGCAGCATATTTTTCTGGCCTAGTGAAATCTCTCAGTATCTGTTGTAAATTTCATTAATGCACAGTTTTATTTTTTTGCGAGAAAAAGACCCTTTCCCATAAAATAGGGAAATACAGAACAGGTACATTTGATTGCAAATATTTTTACAGACTTGAGACATTTAATGTCTGTGTTTATCTCACACAAACATGAAAATCACAGATCACAGAATCATGGCTGCAGTTCTTTTCCTATGTCTAGCATGAAAATTATGTGTCTGCTGGCACGAACGTGCCAATAAAACTATGGACAAACTAACACCAATTATGCTTTTTTTTTTTTTTCCTCTAACACATGATCTAAATAGCATTTAAAAAAATAAAATCAATCTACTATTTCAGGCATTACTATGACACTCTACACATTGCATCATGTAAGATCAGCAGGCTTCTCACTTTTCTGCTTTGCCAACACTTTTCTTCAAAACAGTGTTTTGTAATTCCCAATTTGAAAACAGCACAGGTTTCTTACAGTAAATATTATTGAAAAGGCCAAAATCTCAATCTACCTTTAAAACATGATTCTATATTCATGCTTCTCTCTTGATTCGAAAAGTGAATCAAAAACATGCTAAGAGCAAAACCTAGCTATAGGACCATGCAGAAAAAAGGTCTTGATGTACAGGGCAGGTTGCACAACTAAGGACATGGGTGCAATCTCACTCTGCTTGCCACTTCACTCCTGTGAAGACAGGACAGTGACATAAACAGCAGCAGTGGGACTCTGCTGTCATGAGCATATAGAGCATGTGTCTTAAATATATAACACAGGTAACAAAATGAGTGGACCTCCCTATCAAGTCAACCTTGACATGATTACATTTACATCAATCTTGGTAGCATTCTGTAATTCATCTTTACTTTCATTTCCACTAGGAACATTGATATCTGAAAAAATCTAGGCTTATTCAATCAGCATACTGTTTGAATCCATTTTGAGGGTATTGTTGAAAGAAATGGTGATCTAATTTGACCTTTGCACGTAAGTGTCTTAATATGTTGGAAACAATGAATTAACAGAAGATGTTCTGAACTATCAATCAAAATGTATTTATTCCTAGATGTCTAGGAAGTCAAATCTTTAATTTTCCTGTTTACAAAAGTACTATAATAATACTCTTAAATGGCATCATTGTGTACATCTTAATAAAAATTTTATACTCTACAACACTTCAATAGCTGAACTACTTCTAAAACATTAAAATAGCATTCTAAAAGCAAGCACTCTTTCATAAGAACAAGAGTATATGAAATTTCTGTGTAGTCTTGCTGTAAAAAGTTTTAAAAATAGAATTTAAAACAATGCAACCCTTCTATTCATTTGAGCCAACATTTTTTGAATTCTGTGTCATTGGTTGTTAGCAAGGTCCAATAAAAATAGATGTTCTTTAAAAGAACATGTGTTTTTATTGGTTCACTCCAGGGCTCTAAAATGCCAACAGCTGCAAGTAAGAAACTGGATTTCCTTCTAAAAACATATAAAAATACTTTTTGGAGCACAGTGTAGAAATGACATCGTCCAATTCAGTACTGGCAAAAAGGAAATGTTGGATGTATCCTTTTAAGAAAGCTGAAAGCTAAAGGAAGTGTTTCATTTAAAATATTATAAATAAGAATGTCTAAACGCCGTTATCCCAAACTTGTGAAAATTCATACTTGTGAAACCTTCAAATAGAATCCTCTTAAAGTCAGAGACAAAATATTTTGTGCAACACAGGTTGACTAAATATCTGATCTGAGGTGTAATTATACACTTCAATGGAGGTTCCCCTGAATTGAACACATTATGAAAGATGGGCTGTTAATTGAGAAAACTGCTTCTTTAACTCAGATACTTTTGAATACATCAAGGAATACAAGAGAAGTGTAGATGGATGTCCAAGAGAATATGTCTTGATCAGAACGCTAAAGACTTTGCTAAGTAAAGGATATTAGGTAACGTGTCATTTTATAAAGGTTTCACACAAACAATCCACCAAGAATTAGCTTCATTGCATGGTCTACTGTGTGCATGTGGAGTTCTGTAGCTAGAAAGGCAATACTGAAGATAAAAAACAAGAAGCCAAAAACCCAATCAGAAAATGGTTTCCTCTCTTCATTCAAATTCTCATGTTTGCTCTCCTCTATGAATATATTTCCCTTAAAGTCTCCTACCTTAGCTAGCCTCATTCAGGTGATAACGTATTTGTCAGACAGTGAACCTCTTCAAGCCAACAACCATCAACCTTGAACAACCATCGGTGCCCAGCTGTACAGTTTTCACTACAACATCATCCATTCCAGGCAACAGGCACTCAATCTGCTTTTTAACCATACCTCCACAGTGCAATCTGACTAAATTGCACTCAGTCTTTCCAAACAAATACCCCTGTACCCAACACTGGATATATCACAAGCAGTTAAGACAAAATGGAAAAAAAAAAAAAAAAAGCAGGTAACATACTAGACAGCAAGTACACCTGTTCTTCCCTTCCATCTTATAATTTAAACAATTAGGTTACTGGTGAGCCTTTTTAAATGAGCATCTGCTAACACAATTCAGCAGAATGAGGATGTTTATGAGAGGCACTGGCTCAATGCACAGCAGGTTCTGACTCCTTTCTGTGACTATCCAGGTGGGAGAGTTGAGAACACTGCAAGGAAAATCCAGACTAACTGCAAAAAGGAGCACCTGCTAAAGTGGACACTGATGGAAAGGTCGAGAAATGGACCAAGAGAATATCAGTAAAGTCCTGAGTAAAGTCCTTGAGGCTCACCCAGAAAGAGACTGTTAAAAGATGGTCCCAGTTCCAGGTACACAAAAGGAGTAAAGATGGTTTACAATGAGTTGGGTATTTCAGAAGATAGAAAAATCAATGCAGATAACCACTTAATAGTGTTTGGCCTTTACTAGAAAATGAGGTTGCATTAACATATCAAACATAACTTTAGCACTTGTATAAACAAATTATCTTTAACATGCTGCCAGCTTTTCGGCATTTGCTTCTTCAGCTTGTACCTATAACATGTTAACATGGTGTTATGGTGCCTGCCATGTCTACACAGATTGATGAGTTATTTTTTGATCGATCATTACTTAACATGATTATTCAGTGAGGTGTTCTGGAAGTAAAAGGTACAGACATTACACAAGAGTAAAGTAAAATCTACCAGTCACTGGAGAAATAACATTAGTAGGGACAAAGACGGAATGCAGCAAAGAATTAACATTGAGCAGATGGATCCCTTGCCCCCAGCCATTTGGTCCCCATGCAGTTTGTTTATATGAAGACAACACCTATCCCCAGAGGCCTCATGCAGAAGCATATGTAACTCTCTGCTACTCAGGTCGATATGACTGTTCATGTGCTTTCAAAGAGATATAAATGTTTTGCTACACCAGAGTCCCTCAGTCTCATCTCACTGAACTAGATAGTAATGTCAAGTCCATTACACATTTTTGTATTATAGCGCAGATTTGACCCAGACAAAGGTACTGTGACACTCCTTGGCTGAGGAAACAAC